AAAAAAGAAAGCAGCATCAGGTAGGTGGTCCAAAACCTGGTTCCCTGGCAAGGACGACAAGGTTATCTCCCTATGAATCTTCCCCCTCTAAAATCGACAGGAGGGGCCACCTCTACTAGTAGTAAAGAGAAGGCGGACCTTTTTTGCTGAACACTTTGCTACCAAAATGCAAGTTCCTGAACCAGCAAGGGACCCTCCTTGGCTAGCTGCAAGAACTGTGTCAAAACTGTCAGTGGTGACAATAAGGCAGGAGGAGGTGCATTTCCTTCTTAAATCGCTTGACCAAGAAAAGGCTGTGGGCCCAGACAAGTTGAGCCCAAGATTGCTGAGAAGATGTGCAGACCAGCTAGCATCACCTCTAACTCCCATCTTTCAGCACAGCCTAGTACAGTGTAAATGGCCCTCTCTATGGAAAGAGGCAAATGTAGTCCCTGTTCACAAAAGAAGAGCAGAGCAGAAATCAGCAACTACAGACCAGTGTCATCCTGTCAATCACATGGTAAGATCCTTGAGACAATCTCAAGTCAAATGACAGAGTTTTTTGACTACCACTCACTACTTTGTGACCGTCAATATGGCTTCAGGAAAGGTTACTCTGCTGCTGATCTGTTGTTAAACCTCTCACTAAGTGGCACCAGTCACTGGATGAATCTAAAGTCAGCTGTGTGGTAGCACTGGACATTGCTTGTGCTTTCGACCGGGTGTGGCACCAGGGCCTCTTAGCAAAACTTCAAGCACTGGGAATTGCAGGCTCTACGCTGTCTCCTCAGTGATTACTTTCATGGTAGATCTCTAAGTGTAGTTCTCAGTGGAACTGAATCAGCAAGACATCCATTGGGCAAGTGTTCCACAATGAAGCGTGCTGGGACCATTGTTATGGAATGTCTACTTCAACGACCTTCTTCATCTCATCCCAGAATCACATGCATATGCAGACGACTGTACACTGACATTCACTTATCCAAGAGAAGAAATGCCAGCTGCTCTAAGCTACATCAATCACCAGCTAAGAGCTATATCAGCTTGGGGAAATAGACGGCAAGTAACATTTGCACCTGAGAAAACGTAAATGATGATCGTCTCTAGGCACCATGATGGTAATGCTGGTGCAGTAGTAAGGATGAATGGGAGGGTGTTGGCACCTGGAGAAGTTGATGTCCTTGGGGTGAAATTTGACTCCAAATTAACCATGAAGAACCATGTTGTAAATCTTGCAAACAAGGCAGCCAGGAAGCTTATAGCACTTCGCCGTATCTCGCATCTGCTTGACAGTAGGGGTTGCAAGATTCTGTACGAGGCACAAGTACGCTCACACCTTGAGTATGCTTCACTTTCTTGGTTTGCCTGCCCCCTCCCCTCTCATCTGCGACTGCTTGACAGAGTAGAGAACAGAGCAAGACGTCTCATCTCTCGCCTGGACCCATCCTGGATAGATCTGTCATTTCAGCAGAGCCTTCAACACAGGAGGGATGTGGGTGGGTTTACTGTTATGTACAAGGCCAATATTGTCCAAGTACCACACTTGGATCCACTTCGAGGACAGCGTGAAACAAGCTTTTATGCCACAAGACGGGCAGAAAGCAGCAATTTCACTCTGGCTGTAACCTTCTCCAGAACATCACTCCATCTGAGATCATATATACCCAGGATGACTCGAGTATGGAACACATTCGTACAGCGTAATGATGTCAACGAGATCAAGTCAGTTGATCAAATGAAAATGCTGGCCCACAGATGGCTCCAACTTCATCCTGTTCCTTAGTTGCATGTCTCGAAACAATAAAAATGCTTTCAAATGAGCTGATGTAGGTAACAGCTCTTAGCTTGCCAATAAAGTTAGGAATCCTTAACCTGTAAATAGCTTGTCAATAAAGCTAGGGATCCTTAACCTTGTCAAACCCTGTGTAAAAAAAAAGTAAAGAGAAAGTGACAAGGGTAAAGGGAAAGTGAAAAGAGTAAAGAGAAAGTGACAAGGGTAAACGGAAAGTGACAAGCGTAAAGAGAAAGTGACAAGGGTAAAGGGAAAGTGACAAGGGTAAAGAGAAAGTGACAAGGGTAAAATGAAAGTGACAAGGGTAAAAGGAAAATGACAAGGGTAAAAGGAAAATGACAAGGGTAAAAGGAAAGTGACAAGGGTAAAGAGAAAGTGACAAGGGTAAAGAGAAAGTGACAAGGGTAAAAGGAAAGTGTCAAGGGTAAAAGGAAAGTGTCAAGGGTAAAAGGAAAGTGTCAAGGGTAAAGAGAAAGTGACAAGCGTAAAAGGAGAGTGACAAGGGTAAAGGGAAAAGGACAATCGTAAAGAGAAAGTGACAATGGTAAAAGAAAGTGACAAGAGCAAAGAGATAGGGTAGTGTAGAAAGATAAAGGGAAGTAGAGAGAAGGACACAGGTGACTCTTTACTTGTCAACAATAACACCCTTGATCCTCTCACTAGCGGTTATAATAATAACCATATGTTTTAAAGCGGTGGAGGGGTAAGCCAGTGGAAGGTCTCTGATGATCAAAAGTTCCAGCTGTGGGTGATCATATGACTAAGATCCGCGTCTTTATACACTTGTCCTGTTTCCTGAGAAACTTTACCTAACTTAACCTAATCTAATCTAACCTTACATAACCTAACCTAATCTAAGCTCTCTCTCCTACTATTGCTGTTACTAATACTGATGCTACTCCTACAACTATTACTACAACTGCTGCTGCTACTTATACTGCTACTGTTGCTGCTGCTACTTATACTGCTACTACTACTACTACTGTTGCTGCTGCTACTTATACTGCTACTGCTGTTGCTGCTGCTACTTATACTGCTACTGCTGTTGCTGCTGCTACTTATATGCTACGCTGTTGCTACTTATACTGCTACTGCTGTTGCTGTTGCTACTTATACTGCTACTGCTGTTGCTGCTGCTACTTATACTGCTACTGCTGTTGCTGCTGCTACTTATACTGCTACTGCTGTTGCTACTTATACTGCTACTGCGTTGCTGTTGCTTATACTGCACTGCTGTTGCTGCTGCTACTTATACTGCTACTGCTGTTGCTGCTGCTACTTATACTGCTACTACTGGTTGCTGTTGCTACTTATACTGCTACTGCTGTTGCTGCTGCTACTTATACTGCTACTGCTGTTGCTACTTATACTGCTACTGCTGTTGCTGCTGCTACTTATACTGCTACTACTGTTGCTGTTGCTACTTATACTGCTACTGCTGTTGCTGCTGCTACTTATACTGCTACTACTGTTGCTACTTATACTGCTACTGCTGTTGCTGCTGCTACTTATACTGCTACTGCTACTGCTGTTGCTACTTATACTGCTACTGCTACTGCTGTTGCTGTTGCTACTATACTGCTATGCGTTGCTGCTCTACTTATACTGCTACTGCTGTTGCTGCTGACTACTTATACTGCTACTGCTGTTGCGTTGCTACTTATACTGCTACTGCTGTTGCGCTGCTACTATACTGCTACTACTGTTGCTACTTATACTGCACTACTACTGGACAGGGCATGCCGTACCAGCTATTTGTTAATTATTTGACAAACACTCAGCCGCCTCTGAGTGAAGTCAAGTGCAAATCTTACATTCTGTACTAACAGTCTTCGAGGTTTGTTCCCAACCCATGGCGGCCTGGTCACAGATAGCTGGCCTCCAGGTCACAGATAGCTGACCTCCAGGTCACCGGTCACAGACAGCTGGCCTCCAGGTCACTGGTCACAGACAGCTGGCCATCCAGGTCACTGGTCACACTGATCAGCTAAGTCCCCCAGGTCACTGCTCACAGACAGGTGGCTTCCAGGTCACTGGTCACAGACAGCTGGCCTCCAGGTCAATGGTCACAGATAGCTGACCTCCAGGTTACTGGTCACAGACAGCTGGCCTCCAGGTCACTGTTTGATTGTTGGATTTGCTTTTTTTTTCGCTGGGATAAAGCTGTAGATGACGCTTCGTTTGTGTTAGATCATTATCAAGTTATAGATCATGCATCAGTATCACGTTACAGGTTCTAGAGGGACTGTTATTTTTCGGTCCATGGCAGACCGAGATTGTGGGTTTATGACTTGTGAGTGTTTGACTTCACTCTCAGATGACTAACTTCATTTTCAGATGACTATCAAACTTCACTTTCCAATGACTAATTACCACTTTTTTGTCATTACAGAGAGGAAGTGTCGAACGTCGTACGGGTAATACCACCTAAAGTGATCCCCAGCAGCTGTAAGTGCCTACACTATCACCTCTGGTAATAAGGTATCTGTTAGGAAAGTTGCACATGTAACAGTGCTGCATCCTGGTAGTGGCAGATCCAACCACTTTCAGTAGTAGTTGCCTCAAACGAGTGACACGGGCAAAGTAAATCAGCCCTTTCTGGGTAGCTTAGAAATCTTGATCGAGTGTGGAAAGTTTTCATAATGGAAAAGGATCGCATACGTAAGATGAGCATCAGAACCTCGCGGCGGTCTTCAACGGTGAACATCATCCGGCGGCCGTTTGGGATGAGCAAAGCAGCGTTCAGCGGCCTCAAAGTGACGGTGTTGTGGGTGTCATACCTGCTGCTCGGCTCAGCTATCTTCATCTACCTGGAGGAGACGCACGAGACAGTGTACGCCGTCACGGACCACCATCACTGGGCGAAATTTAAAGGTAAGGTTCTACACCCTCTGCCCACAGTTCTTGTCTGCCAAAAGGTAAGATGGTGAGCCTTTTAGTGACGGTGCTTCAGTGAAAATCAACCTCCTTATCTTACACATAAATTAGACTTAATTTTGAAGACATATTTGGAAAGAGAATATCGTATGACATACAACCAGGATGCTGCAGACATGTTGTCTCTGCATCGTAACACTGAGTCTCTTGAAAAATAATAATAATAAAAAAAAACAGTCGCTCTGGAGAATTCTTAGTTTGAAGAATCAGACTCATATGCAACATCTGGGTATCTTTATTTGAAGACGTTTCGCCATTCAGTGGCTTTGTCTAAACAAATTCAAGAACATAATGGGAAGACTGTGGAACTATATATAAATGACGAGGTGATCAGTCCCTCAGCTTTAGAGTTGGTGAAGATTACCGTAGTCTTGATTACCTCGTTCTTGAATTTGTTTTGATAAAGCCACTGGATGGCGAAACGTCTACCAATAAAGACACCCAGATGTTGCACATGTGTCTAATTCTTCATCCTGTCAGTACTGTATACCAGTCCTTGGTTTCCCTGAAGAGTCTGTCACATAAGCGCAGTTGCCCCCATGCTCCGAGGGTCTCCCATCCTACTGTAAGGAAGCTGTAGCATGGTGACAGGCCCTTCTATTTGTGGGTTGTTCTGGGTTTACCTGTAATTGGCAGCATTCTCTCTGGGTTCTTGAGGTTCCTGTTCTGCTGTGGTGAAGCTTCGCTTGATATCATTAACCTCCTTGTGTCTGGCGTACTTTCCCACCGACGTATGACAGACGGCACCAAGTAGCCCAGATTGATCAGCTGATACCTTGCCGCAAATGCACCTATGTTGGGGCGGCTAGGCAAAGAGCTACACAAATCCGAATGGCCTGTGGGTCGATCCGAGTGCTGAAGGAGGAATCGTGGGACAGTCTAACAAGAAAATCTTGAATGTGTGCCTTTCGCTAGGCAGACGAGCTTGTCCTTTCCTGAGGATTGTTGAGGCACTGTGTGGGGATTTTTTCCACGATCGAGTTGTCCCATGGGACTGCTTGCTGTCTACTAGGAGGAGCTGGTCTGCTTGAAGAATCTCAAGCGCTGCCCCACTGTGCTGCCTGCATTCGATGAACTTAGGGGTCGTGAGCTCTGCAGCATTTGAAGCTTTCAGGAAATCTACTTAACTAGATGACTGGATACCAAGGCACGAGACACAGAAATGCAGGTAATGCTACCTGTGTTGCCTTGCGCACTTTCTAAAGATAAATCTTTAGGAGTGGCGTCATATTTTCATGAGTGTTGGTTTTAAGCAAATAACAATACTTTGACTATATCGGATCGAACTAGATATTTACCATTATCCCAAGACACTAGGTAAATTTCTTGACGACTTTGTCACACTGGCCACGCAATAGTGTGCGACCGCTGACTGTCACCTTTGTAGAATGGGAATATCTCAGTGTTTGTCAAAGGATTGGGTTTTATTCTGCTCTCCAGGAGGAATATATATATATATTTATATATATATATATTATATATATATTATATATTATATATATTTATATATATATTATATATATATATATTGCAAACAATCGCAGACAGGAGATCTTAGCAATGCAAAACAAGCCACGGAGGGAGAAGGTGGAAACCTTTAGCTCAAGTAATTTCACACTTCTCAGTGCGTCATCAGGAGCTATGCAAAGTTGCAAGGCAAGGAGTGAAGGGAAGTTTTCTCAGAGTAGTGCAGTGCGGGTTGGCACCAGCCGTAGCCTCCAGCTGGTGTTGTTGGGGTGGCAGCGAAGTTAAATCTCGTTCTTAAATGCCTTGGTGTTAATCTTTTATTTTTATAGTTCCTGGATAATGTTCCTTCATAATCTCTCCCTTCAATCTGGTATCCAATCTTTCATCACCTAAACTTATTATCCTCATCACCTTGCTCTTTCCTACATTCACTTTTAATTTTCTTCTTTTACATACCCTACCAAATTCATCCACCAACCTCTGCAACTTCTCTTCAGAATCTCCCAAAAGCACAGTGTCAGCAAAGAGCAACTGTGACAACTCCCACTTTGTGTTTGAGTCTTTATCTTTTAACTCCACACCTCTTGCCAAGACCCTCGCATATATATATATATATATATATATATATATATATATATTAATATATATATATTATATATATATATATATATATATTTATAATGTCATGCCGAATATGTAAAACTGGTCAATTAGCAAGAACTCATTTAAAAATTAAGTCCTTTCTAAAATTTTCTCTTATACTCTTAAAATATATTTTTTCATTAATGTTAATGTAAAAAATTTTAATTTTGCACCAAAAGAATCTTAGAAAACTTACCTAACCTTATTATAACAAGAAAATTTATTTTAGCCTAACCCAACTAATATATTTTAGATTTGTTTACAAAAATTTAACACTAAACAAACACAGTAAAATTATATTTTTTTCGTTAGGTTCAGAATGATTTTGGCGAAATTATTGCATACACAAATTTTCGCTTGTCCTATATGGCAAGATGAGCGTTGCTATTTAAGCCAAGATCGCAAGTTCTGCCTATTCGGCACGACACACATATATATATTATATATATTGTCGTGCGAATATGTAAAACTTGCGATCTTGGCTTAAATAGCAACGCTCATCTTACCTTATAAGACAAGTGAAAATTTGTGTATGGAATAATTTCGCAAAAATCATTCTGAACCTAACGAAAAAAAAAATACATTTCATTGTGTTTGTTTAGTATTAAATTATTGTAAACGTATTTAAAATATATTTAGTGGATTAGGCTAAAATAAATTGCGCTTGTTATTATAAGGTTAGGTAAGTTTTCTAAGTTTCTTTTGGTGCAAAATTATAAATTATTACATTAACATTAATGAAAAAAATATATCTTTAAACGTACCAGAGAAAATTTTAGAAAGGACTTAATTTTAAAAGAGTTCTTGCTAATTGACCAGCTTATTGCAGTTTAAAAAACTGTAGTGTAAAGCCCGACTCACGAAATCGTAATGACACGATTGCAAACCAACTATACCCCGGCCGGGATTGAACCGCGGTCATTGAGTCTCAAAACTCCAGCCCGTCGCGTTAGCCACTAGACCAGCTAGCCACAATAAGATTCGTCCAACTAGGTATATTTCTACACCATAGGAAGGTTAGCACAGGCACCCTGTGACCACAAATGCAAGTTTTTACAGACGAATCTCAGCTAGCGTGGCCGTGACGAACTCTAGCTCATCGTAAAGAGTCATGTTGACGGCAGTGAAGGGATTGAGCTAGAGTTCGTCACGGCCACGCTAGCTGGAGATTCGTCTGTAAAAACTTGCATTTGTGGTCACAGTGGTGCCTGTGCTAACCTTCCTATGGTGTAGAAATATACCTAGTTGAACGAATCTTATTGTGGCTAGCTGGTCTAGTGGCTAACGCGACGGGCTGGAGTTTTGAGACTCTATGGACGCGGGTTCAATCCGGCCGGGGTATGGTTTGTAAAGCACCCTTCTGGCAAGACAGTGATGGAGTGAAAGATTGGTGAAAGTTTTTCTTTTTCGGGCCACCCTGCCTTGGTGGGAATCGGCCAGTGTGTTAATAATTATATATATATATATATATATATATATATATATATATATATATATATATATATATATATATATAATTATATATATTAATGTCGTGCCGAATAGGCAGAACTTGAGATCTTGGCTTAAATAGCAACGCTCATCTTGCCATATAGGACAAGCGAAAATTTGTAGTATGCAATAATTTCGCCAAAATCATCTGAACCTAACGAAAAAAATATATTTCATTGTGTTTGTTTAGTATTAAATTACTGTAAACAAATCTAAAATATATATAGTTGGGTTAGGTAAAATAAATTGCTGTTGTTATAATAAGGTTAGTAAGTTTTCTAAGTTTCTTTTGGTGCAAAATTATAAATAATTTTACATTACATTAATGAAAAAAAATATATCTTTAACGTATAAGAGAAATTTGAAAGGACTTCATTTTAACGAGTTCTTGCTAATTGACCAGTTTTACATATTCGGCACGACATTATATATATCCACCTCTAGTGTAAATTGTGGGACCCACAGCCTCGGAGATAGTGGAATATAAAAAGGCTTCAAGGAAGATATTTGGATTTCTCCTGAACGTTTGAATATTCCACTTTCCATATCCACCCATCTTTTAATATTATTTTTTTTATCTCAAGGAAATATTTTATTACATAATATAGGTACAGAAGATTTAAGAGATACATTGTTGAATATAAGGGTGGATATAGGTACAGTGTTGTTACGTGTGTATACGATTATAAGCGAAATCTCATTCAGCTCCTCAGAGCTGGGGGTAGTGCCAAAATACAGCTGGCATTACGTTTGAACGCGCACTGAGCCGCTGGGAAATGAAAACTAGTGCCCTGGGATCCACTAGTTACCTTGATGAGTCTTTTTCCAGCTCTTGAGGAATTTTAGATGCACTCTTTTCCCATGAGCAAGGGTTTCTTTGAGCTATGGAACAAACATATATATATGGCAAGTTCTCCATATTTTCTAGACTTTTGGGACTCCGAAGCTGGCAGCTGCCCCTCCTTCTCCTGGTGTATTGGAATAGGTATCTGCCAAGGTTGATGCACATTATGTCCCACACCCATGCTTCCATCTGTCCAGGCTTGAAGGGTTTGATACATTGGACGCTTCTGGACTGCATCAGTTTGCATATAGTTGGGTGGCTCCCGTACTGCTGGGCATCAGCTGTTGTGAGATCACTCTTGATATGGTTATTAACCTCTCAGTCTTGCAATCTTTCCCTCGGATTATCGGAACAAGCCATGGTACCCGATATCGGTCTGCCATGCTTCACTGCCAAAATACACTGTGTTCGGCTGAGATAGGGCGGCAAGTCGAAAGGCAAACCTTTTGGGCAGGTGGTCTGTGGGTCGAGGACGTTGTGCCAAGGCTGGAGT